GAAGTCGAAATATCACTTTTACCAAAAATGACAAAAAATATTCACCAAAATTAGAAAATTGAAGATATCATTACAAAATGAACAAATTTGAGAGGAGGTCTACCAAGGTACATATACACCAAGTATCAAAGCATTCAGGCTTGTAGTTTTCAAGAAGAAGTCGAAAAAGTAAAGATTGACACGGACGACGACGGACAATCACTCATATGACAAGCTTCGCTCGACAAAGTCGACAGCGGAGCTAATAAAAAGGTAAATCCCTGACATTCAGGATCGATAGGTCACAGTCCATGACCCCAAAGGTGTAAGGTGGGCAATAAAAAAAATACAGTACAAGTTCTACACAGTGAAACAGATTTATCATTTTTAAATCTCACAAATAATTTAAGCACAAATTAGTGATTAGTTCATTTGAGTTAAGTGAAACCTGCTTATGAAAGTGCCCCTTCCCCCAAACATATGGAAACCATCAAATTACGACACGCAAAAACTATAAACCACTTTAGTCCCCTAATCTTAAGACACAAAAAAATCGTTAGGGTACTTTTAGGGTCACAGAGACTTTAACGGGACACAAATTTACCAGATATTAGCAAATTGAGGGAAATTACTGGGGTGTTTTTGTGATAGGTTCACCAAGACTTTTATGCTATATTACTATTATGAAATGTGCTAATACACCTTGAACCCGTCCTACTGAAATCACCCCACCACCCAATGCCACAGGTGCAGCTTCATGTTTCTACCGGGCATCAATGACACTAAATATTGGCACAAGAACCACACATCTGCAGAATACAAATTCGAGTCGGATAATAATGTCGTACACGTTTGAACAGAGGTGTGTTTCACATCAGGTTGCCCAACACCATATTTTTTTTTCCCCCTGATATTTGTTATTGCCTTGGTAACCCCATGGGAAACCAGTGTTGTAATTCCCCATCCTTGCCAATCCCTGATTACATAAACACACCAAGGAAAGCTGCTATGCTTCAGTAAGACTCACTGATTGCCTGGTGGCATGAAAACCTGACATCAAGGTCTGATCTGGGGATCAGCTTGCTGTCCAGGAGTTTTGGAATTATTGGATATAAGAAAGACCAGTCTTTCTGTATGTGAATATTCAACATGCCATGAACTAACCAGAGTAGAGGTGACATCAAGGACTATTACTTTAAAATAATTTACAGCATGTTGGTATGAGAACAAACAGCAGCTTTTTAAAATGAATTACACTGAAAACATTGCAAGTGGTTTTCTCAAACAGTAAATCATTGAATAACTGATATCCAGAATTCCAGCAAGTGATTGTTTATTCTCCTTTGGGAAACAATTTATGTTTACTGGGAAAAAACTGCAATCTGATCTAAACACGGTCTGAAGACATGAGAGCAGAATAAGGCATTAGGGGAATACAGGCAAGAGATAGATTTAATAGCAGAAACCATAGCAACGGATGACACTGGAAGCAGAATGCTCGTAATTGAGTAGATAGTAGAAAGACTTGGGAATTCAGACTTTCGCCTCGCTCCCCCCCCAATTCCTAACCCTTGCTGAGTTACACAAACGCAAAAGGTCTATGAGCATTATTTTATTCAAGATCATTCCCAAAACTTTTCATTATTATGTGAAATATTTGATGGGCTGAATTTGTAAGAATAACAGGAAATACGTTTCAGTTGTTTTGGCTTTCTATTCAGTTACTTATTTAAATGTTATTCAACTAGTGTTCCCAATACAAGTACAAATTTCTCTTAGCAACAATTTTAAACTGAACAGCTAAATAATGAATAACACAAGTACGGTAACTTGCGAACCAACAGATATTAAAGGGCAGTAGTCGTCGCGCAGCGCGTGTTCGATTTTCATATAAACAAATAATGTATTTTACACATGTTGTATACGTCACTATGAGCCCCACATCGAACAAGACACAGCGCGGCGACTATCGCCTTTTAAAAATGATAAAAATATACATCACCAAACACTTTGGCTTAGCACATAAATTTTGATTTGCCCAAATTTTGATCATCAAATTGTGATCATTCCTAGGAGTGAAAATTATAACTGAACTGCTGACCTAGAACTTTTCTAAATTTAAATGATGAACCAGCATGATGAGCACATTCCAATCCAACAGCGGCAATTACAACTTGACATCGATTCAAAAATTGTTTTGACAGCTCAGTATCAAATAACTTATATCTGTGTTGGTTTTACCAATAACACTTCATCCTGAACTTGGATCAGTACTCAAATACATGGAATGTACATCTAGCCAATTGTATGCCCACATTTTTGTCTCCAGTGCTCAAACCTTGGTAAATCTGATACAGTATCAACAGCCAACAATGATCAACTACCAATCTGCATGATAGGACAAGGGGAGTTGCTCAAAGAAGAATTTGCAAGAAGAATGACACCAAGAAATCCTAAGACACCATTATTGTAAGAAATCCCCAATTGCAAAAAGAGAACACACTGAGAGAGACTAATGAACTCACTTCCTTTAAATATTAGAAAATAATTAAGTACAATACTACCTGATTACCCATTTATTTTGAACTTGGTCAGTTTGCTTAACCTTTGAACTGATCAAAGGCAGGAGTCATCCAGGGTAACCACAGAGACTCTCATAACAAAATCAAAGCCAGACACTACGCTGAAATTTAGCTTTAGAAAGATGCACGACAAGAGTGAGTCCAGTGAAACATAGCCAACTAAATGTATAAACTTATAATACTGTATTTCCTATATTAGTAGTACCCGGTATATGTAAATGAGAATAAAGTCGAAATAAGTAGTTTTCATGATTTTGTACGCAATATGGAATTTTTGGTGTATAGTTGTGTGTGCGCTTCTATAATTATGCAAATACAACGCAATAAACATAAATAGCAAACACAATATGTACACAGTGCCTAAATGAAAATGCCCCTCCCCTACCCTCCCCTCCCCTCCCCTACATGAAGGAGAGTGTTAATCCTATTGTTGGTATGTGCTATTCCCAAAAATTTTTAGCTTTCTATTGTCAAAACAATTTTACAATAAAAGTTATATAACAATAACCATAAACATTAGAACTGAAGAAATCAATCAAGTCATCACCATGACAGAATCCATAAGATATACTTTTCTTGTCACATATGTTCTGTTCACTAGCTATGCTAGTATGGCTTGACATTAGTCTGATAATATAAAAATTTGATGAAATGATGACACTACTAGGGACATACTGTCGTATTATTTGACCTCACAGTCAGTGTTATAGTACCCCAGAGAAATTGTCACAGACTTGCAAAATTTAAGCGATTTACAGTATATACATGTAGACACATGTCACAGATCAAGAGAGAAATTATTTTTAGGTCATGGGACAACTTTATTCTATGTTCCAAATTAACCAACTTATACTATCAACAATGCTCTTCCTATCATTGCGAAGCAGAATCTGCCTATCATTGGATTGTTCACACACCAACAGGGAGTGTGAGCAGGGTTTAGATCGTTGTGAAACTGGTTTTACCCCACTGACCAAACACTTTAGATGCACATTATTTTGAAATCATCTGCAATCATACCTGGCAATCTCACCACAATGCTGCAACACTCAAATTGAATCACCTTGTGAACACCTGGCACTACATACCTGACAACACAGCAATCACCTGCATTTAAGTGCACCAAGAAAACACTTAGACCCTTATCGATTAATAAGGTTAGTCACGAACCACAAAGGTGAAACGCCAAATTCAAGTAAATGTGTTCATTATAGTACACACCAGATTCCTTATTTTCATTGGTGTGTACACAGGTGTGCAGCAGGGACATGCCATCGAACGGTCGGTCAGCATGGTTGCTAGGATCATCAAAGTATGAAAATCTTTGAATAAGTCTGGTAAACATCTACCACAAACGAGATGCACCTGTACCTGAGGGGGCCAGCTAGGACACGACAATTAAACCACAACTGCTCAAACAGAAGGTCTGCTTTGACCCTCAACTGTATATTTTTCTTTTATCTATGAAAAGGGAAAACTCAAAGCTCAATACATTAATAATTTAAATGCGACAATAAAAATCATGTACTGAAAATAAAGGTCACCACATGACCTTTTAATAGGCCCATTATAATCCTAATAGACAGTGAAGGGATTAAAAACAAAAGTGGTGAGATAACTCATCATTGGTGAAAATACGCAGGGCATATCCAACAAGGCAGCTGGAGGCTCACTCCTGAATAATTAAAACTAAGCTCAAATACTGAATATTATATTATAAAGCCGAATCTGTTTATAGTACTGATATAAAACCAATAAATGCAGTGTTGTTTAAAACAATATGGTGAACATCAATTGTAATTCCCAAACTGAATAAGTTAAATTGATTTCAAATTAATTAAAAATCAGTACCTACATCAGATCATCAGCCATGCAAGGCATTGTCCTTACAATTTTGAAATTTTAAGTAATCATAATGAACTACTGTAAAATGACTAATTTTCACTGGGTTTAAATTTCACTGATTTACCATTTCAGGCATATTCAGTGGGCTTTAAATTCACGATTTCGTCATTTAGATAATGTGTTCTATGCTAAATTTTACATATTCACTGTTTTAATTTAGCGCATTTTTCCAGTCAGCGAAATAAGCTAAATTAAAACCCAGTGAATAATTACCCCCTTTACAGTAATCATTTAATCAACCGATATGCAAGAACAGCCCTTGAAAATTTGGAAAAATTGGAATTTGCATAATTTTTAAAGAGGGTGCTTGGCACAGTGTTGATAAAGAGCAGACACTGAAGTAACATAAATGACGCTTAAAATTAACAAGAAAAATTGAGTTACGCTAAACTATTTTAACAGATCATTTATGTTCATGAATGCAAATATGATATAAATATAAATTTTTTATATCAGTGAAGGTTTGGTTTAACTGTAGCTGAGACGACGACTTTGCACGGCTTATGACAACAGGGGATGACATGTGCTGCAGCCATTCACAGTTCTGAGTAGAACCAGCAAATATGTTACCAATAAGACAGAGTTCAAGTACCATCAAAGACTATTTACATCTCCATAATGACAAACAAACTATCAAAACAAGCCATCTTTCTACCATGAATTTGAGACAGCACTTTAAACCAGTCAGTACAAGGATCATATGCAATCAGAATGATACCAGGACCTTGAGTGTATCACCTTTGGTTTTTGGTGTAATACAACTCATGACATCACTCACCACTAGAGCATATGATAGCTGCACACATGTGAAGTTACAATCACTAGATGACATTTACTATTGATGATTGTAAACAGTGTATCAAAGATCAGAAACATATCTGAGATTTGAAACATTGTATCAGAAATTTGAAACATTGTATCAGAGATCAGAAACAGGGATTGCTTTTTCATATAGTAATTTCTGGTGAGAACTCTGGAAGCAGAATTTGGCAATAACACAATTTCTGATTGGAACGTGAACCGGTATATCAGAACATTTTGTTTGAAAAGTTATGACTAGGGCTTAGAAAAGGTAAGAGGTTATAGTTGTTTTCCTACTAATATTACGAGACATGCAAACAGATTTTGAAAAGATAGTTACCATATTTGCTTTATTAGTATTGTGTGCACTTAGTGATGGGCTTGTCTTTTGAAGATACGCTTTTAAAAGTGTGAATAATTTCGGCTAATAGTGAAGGACCCAGCAAAGGATCGCAGCAGGAGGCGTGTTAAACATCTTCCTAAACAGAAGATCTCACTCTCCCTTGGGACATGCACTGCAACAAACAACTAACTAGTCTTCTTGTGGAATTCATGTTCATTTCAAACAACAACATTCCTAAACCATGTAAACCAGTGTCTTTGTTCAGATACTAAGATTTGAACTATAATTCAGCCATGATTTTTCTCCAATCTCAGCGATACATGTACATTAACCTTTCAAGCACCATTGGAGGTCGACATTTTCAGTTCAGCAATTCAACAAACATGCAATTTTATTCTTTAGATTCATATCAAGCTTCATCATCAAGCTTCATCATCAACAGTATAAAATGTCAAGACTTATCGAACTATGATGTTTAATAATTCAACAACTATGCTTCGTCTTAGACATAATACACGATCTGTACTCAACAGGATACAACAACATCACTTCATTAGAAAAATAAAAACAATTTCTCATGGGAAATGTTCAAGTAAAAAATCAACACGAAGTCGTAAAATTTGAAATATGACCAGAAGAGACCCCCCCCCCCCTAATCTTATTTATGCCAAAAGCGTGATCAATTTTCCTTTCATATGCCCTTCCTCATTGGTCATTTTAATTTTTCTCGGTGCCAGGAGCTTGGAATGAGTGTCCGGTGAGAGAAAAACAATAAGTTAAAAAATATGCCGAATATTTTCTAAGAATGTTTACCATTCTGTAGGTCGTCCAATCAGACAAGCAGTTGACAATCGATTGGCCTGGCAAATAAATTAGAAAGTCATATAGATATGAATACTTCTGTTGTCTTGATTAGTCATTTTGTGAAACTAGACTCCACTAACAGGAACAGGGCTGAGAGTACTGTATTTCCTCTATTAGAAGCACACCTCCAATAGAGGTACATGTACTGTATTTCCTCTATTAGAAGCACACCTCCAATAGAGGTACATGTACTGTATTTCCTCTATTAGAAGCACACCTCCAATAGAGGTACATGTACTGTATTTCCTCTATTAGAAGAACATCTCTAATACTTCTAGCACAAGTACAAGAAGGAAAAAAAAAAACTGAAAAGTCACGAAACTTACCTGCTACTTGTAATTTGGCTGACCTACTGACTATTGTTCCTAAATTATCTACTGTTGCAACACACTCGTAATTTCCCTCATCGGGTCGGTCATTTCGAGAATGAGTCACATTGTTTATTCTTAGTGCCCCACTGGGCAAAATCGTCCTCCTTGTGTCACCGAGTAAGTTTAAAAACAAACCGTCTTTTTTCCACTCCACTGTTGGCCTTGGATTGCCAAATGCCGAACAGTTCAAAATTGCTGGCTGTCCTTTTTGTATAACCATATCCACAGGCTCCAAAGTAAAATAAAATGGATTAAAGTTCCTATCATTTCCTGTAAAAAAAGAAAATAAGAACTGTTTAAACAAGGATCAAGATGTAGAACCTGTCCCACAGCTGAGATTTCAAAAAGAACAAATAGTTGTAAAAAGTGTCCCTCCCAGCGGAGAAATGAAACCGAGATCACACATAAAGACAGACTCGTACTGAATAAGAAACAAAATCTCAGGTGGCAAATTGTTTTAACAGATTTATTTCAGATGGTTCACAATTATTCTTGAAAACACAAATCAGACAAGCATGTGGATAAAACTGACATGACAGGTAGACTCGAAACTATGCTGGGCAGTTGACTGCATAGCCTGGTGACCTTCCGTTATTTGGCAGATCTTTTTAGCCCGCTCCATACTAGTCTGGAAATGATGCCAGATTTTGCCGTTATGATCAGTGGGTGACAGCGACGTTGATTGGTTGATACAGTGTGTTGCTAATCTGAATATTCTGATATCCTGTTCTCCACACACAGTGTATCAACTGAGATGCCAAAAAGATGAAATTGTGACTGCCCCTTTCTTTGTTGCATTGGAATAAATTTTCGTGGATAATATGCTTAATCGAGGCAACGTATGTTCGTTCGTATGACGATGGCCGAAAGACCAACAAAATAGTACAAAGGTAACCATGCTATAGACTACATAGATGACTTTTCGTCTGTAACTTGATTAGCATAACAACTATACATAGTCCATCATGATAGACGCAAAACCAAGAAAATATAGCGTGCATGGGTACTTTAGGTTGACTTTAAGCATGGATATGTCATCAATATTATATACAATTAAGAATAAAGTACAATAGCAAATGATTTATTTCTGGTCTTGTCTATATAAACTTGTACCTTGTAACTTTTGTAAGTCCATGTACACATTTAGACTCTACACCAATAATTCATGTAATCACATGAACTACTAATTAATCAAATACGATATATGCACAAAACACGCAAGGTAGCCTCAAACTCTTTGCAACATGTTTTAATTGAACAGTAATTAATAACTTGAATTTTGGTCATTTTAGCCTCACCTGAAAGTTTCTTAATTGTAATGACAAAACTTTACCATAGTCTGGTTTTAAAATTGGTCTTTTACTTGACTTCCTCTATTAGAAGTGTGTTTTAAAGTATAACTTGTATATAATTTATGTTTATACACTCTTCAAACAACAGATATGAGAAATATGTTGATGCCTCGGAGACGGAATACATGGCTGGACCTGTATACAATAATCAAAGCAAGCAACTTCTCAGTATATATACAATTTTAGCAACATGCCTTTAGCAATGCACAGGTCAATTATAGGTGTGTGGTTACAAACACACAGTAAACCATTGCAAGCTACCAAGGTTATTGAGTCAGAGAAACTAAGAAATGAATAGTTATAATGCATCTGTGTTGGTTTTGTGTAACAAACAGTTGCAAGCTTCACAAGATTCAATTATGCCTCAGGGTGGTGTATACCACCCAACGTTCTCCTTCTAAGCATTATGGTACACAAGATAAATCATACCAGCTGCCCCTGAATCTGATATCACAATAATTACTAAGCACTGCCTGATAAAGCCATATGTGCAAATGTTAACAAGCTCACCACTCTAAACCATACAATATAATAGGAGTACAGATGGTACAAAAACTTGTTTCATTTCGTTCACTTTGTTCAGAGCTAGATTTTTCCCCCAAGGATACTTTTTTTTCTGTTTTCTTTTATCAAATAGGAAGATTTTCATGAATAATTTTTTTTCTCATACTTTTTAATGTAGGACTGTTTTCCAAGCTTTTCTCAGCATAATCCCCCCCAAGAATTTCTAATGGTCAACCCTTAAAGTCAACTTTGAGACTCTTTTACATCAGATGTTATTTCATATCCATACCAACCCACATAACCTATTCAGATCATTTTTAATCCAGGATGATCTACAGACATAGCAAAGTAAGAAATCTCAACAAACAATTGGACATCCCATTGGTCCATGTCAGTCATCTGCAGCAAATATTTGGGGACAAGTCAATGGCTGGTTGTTTGTTTGTCTAAACTCAGTATCTGGTACAGTTATCAGATGGCATACTTTCCTCCTTTCCCTACATCCATTAAGACCAAATGATGCACTTTCAAGGGGGTTCTCCTCGTCTCAATTAAAATTCAGATCACATGCAGGAAATGGTGGAATGAACACAGATGGCGACTGGTAGTAATTAACCAGTCATAGCATGGAACTTTTTTTTTTTAAATCAGGAAATGTGGAAAGTTTATATACATAATTAAGGGCATTAGTAGAGATGGTAATGAGTAGAGGTAGGATTATAACAGAAAGGGGAGTGTTCTTCTATAATAATGGGGAAGAGGAAGCATACCACAGGGTTTAACACAATCCCTGGTTAGGATATACTGTAGAATACTTTATTTTCGCTTACAATTTATTTTCGCTGAAAGGATGATTCCGTGAAAATAAAATCCAGCGAATATACTTTTTTTCCTATATTTCAAATTAAACTCATCAAAAATCAGCGAAAATAAATTACATGTACAAAACGGACAAAAAGCCTTTTCAGCGAAAATTTATTCCAACGAAAATAAAGTATTCCACAGTATTCACTGACTCCCCAGAAGTGACACATGACATTTGCAAGAGATGGACAAACTACCATACTACTGTAAAATGTTTCATTTTCGTGACTTGAAGACGTTCATGGAATCGCAATTTTGTGAAAATCACTACGGCTCCATTACAGTACTTTGAACACAAATGTCACCAAATAAAAAGCAAAATGTTGACAAACACATAAAAGTAGGTTTATAAACAAACCTGGGTTGGTGCATTATAAAAATAAACACCCAAGTTCAATAACAGGAGCCATAAAACACTTGATTTGTGTATGTTGTATTCACATGGGAGATAAAAACCTTTTTAGCTGGAGGAAAGACTTCACAAACACACACACCATACACAATCTGAGCAACCCCAGACGTCAAATTGATTTCAACGGATTGAAGTAGACATTAAAGGCTGAAATTGTACAATAATAATCAATGTATTAAACACAGAAGTCGCAGGATGGGATAGTCTCCAAAGAAGAGTTAGAAACTCGAGAGACACAACACACTTTGACGAAACCAATGAGTCATCTTGTATTTCCAATTATGAACCATCCAGGAAAAAGGGTATATGACCCACAGAGATTAATCATGATATCACAATCCTGTATTGGGACAAGAGAACCAGTCCTAAGACAGGATACAGGTATATTTATGTCTGCCTTGAGTGGGAGGATGGGTGTGTGGGCGTAGTTCGACATAGATCAGCCAGAAATACAGGTTAGCAGTCGCATGAAGTGACGTAAAAGCAAGCCGCACAATTACTGAATGCATCATTGAACGCATCGCATAGATCTGAAGAACCTGAAATACTACTAAGAATAAAATAGTTATGGACATAGTGGCTAATGCTAATTGTTTTTCTTCCCAATAACATGGAGAAAATTATGAAAATTATTATTATAAAATTGTTTGATTCATATAGGGAATTGAAATCAGTTCGTAACAATGCTAAGCAATATACTTTCATAATGTTTTAATTTATCTTTCTGTGAAGGTGATGAGATTAAGGTTTAAAATTAGTCGTAGCCATTGTTGTGAAAGCGACGTTTGTTTTATGTGAATGTAATTGGTCAATGGCAAATGAATTTAGTGATACAACTACAACTGTATACATGTAAATGATAACATTTTGAATACGTTTGTGTACCTCCAGTTTGTTACCCCATCCCCCCCCCCTCGGATAAATAGAACTCTTAAGTACATTTTCAGAAAGATTGTGGAGAACACACAAAAACTTTGACCTGGTACAAAGAGCACTACGTGGCAGGTGTGGATGAATTACGAGCATGATAAATAGCTACTACGTAATATTTCCTCACAGAAAGCTTCACACATAATAAATTGGACAAAGTACACCAAATTACACTCACTGAGTGCAAGACCCAGACACCTAGTCTTGTTTTATTGAGTACATGTCACATGACGCTGCTGTGTGGTCCCTTTTGTTACTTTGTGTTAAAACCTGAACATGAATAATGCATCTTATAACTATTGAAAATTCGTAATTTAGTCGTTACACATTGCCATCCATGACACTGAATGTTTTTATATATGTATGTGTCTGGCTGACAATGTCTTAATGGATATATTTCTTTTTTAATCTTGCTGAGATTAGGGCCTGGTGTTTTTATGTACATCGGTATCTTTTAAATTAAATCATAGAGAAAGTTGGCAGAACTAGTGTTATGAAGAGTAAGTAAAGATAATTGAAGTGTAATAATACACATTGTAATATTAACCATGAAGAACCAACTTAATTTTCCAGCCACTCATGATTTACTGAAAAATACTTTATTTTCGCTTGGGAATTAATTTTTGCTGAAGGAATTCAGTGAAAATAAAATCCAGCGAATATACTTTACTTCTATATTTTACATTCAACTAGTCAGAAATCAATGAAAATAAATTTCATACAAAACACCAAAAAAGTCTCTTCAGCGAAAATTAATTCCAGCTAAAATAAAGTATTTTAAAGTATTGCAATTGTGTTGACTAGAGCCGTAATATTTGCCTCAGTTTTAATCTAAACAGGTCAATTGAAATAAAAAAAATTCTATGTTATATTAGTGTTCGATTCATTAGCTTCGAGAACGAGAATATCTGAAGATACACGAGGAATAATTCACAAGAAAACCAACGATTTATTCAATGCTCTAAATCATTCAACTTATGAAATTTTGCCAATTATTGTAGACCATTATTGTTTTGATGTTATTAATCTTTGTGGTTTGACGACTTAAGATCATTGCACAGAGACAAATTTTAAAATTTTAATGACCCCAGTGAAGTGTTCACTGAAGCAAATTTATGATTTTCCCTGAAATTGAATCAATTTACAGTAGATTATTTACAGCAACTACTGTGGAACAATTTATTTACACGAGTCAAAATCAGCCAGCA